TGTGCCAACGGCCAAAGACTCCTTGTCGGAGAACACAAAGCATTCATTGGGATTCATAGTTGGCAGATGCATCCAACGGCGGCGAGTAGGGTCAAAAGCTTCCCATTCAAGGAGCTGGCAGGAGAAATAAACCCAATGCTCAACCACACCATTTTGCCGCCGCAATCTGTAAAGTTCACCGTTCCTAATTAATGAGCGAAAGCTACTATTCAAAGATGCTATGGCGCCATAATCCGACCTAGAGCAACGAATGAGACAACTGATGGAGTTGTCACGGCCAATTGCATGAATAAGCGAGCTCGAATCAGAATTATCCCCAGCATGACGCTGATTGTCAGCTTGCTCATCAGGGGATGCTGAAGAATTGCCCAAGGATAGAGCCACTCCTTCCACTCGGTTGAAAGCATCGGACTGCTTTGGCAACTTGCATTGCACATGTTCACTCTCCTCATCATTTTCCAATGGCCTTTTGCCACGCTGGACCTCAATCCTATCAAGGCGATAACTCATGCAAGCTGCCCAGTTACTTTCTGTCCGATAATCCCTTGACACCAAACAAGACCGGTCTTCTAACATGTCGTCCAGATTCAACCCAATAAAAGCACAAGTTCCGCGGCCTTGCTCTGATCTGGATCTACCCTCTGTTCTTCCTCACAAGACTGATATCCACTGCAGAAAATTAATAAAGAACAACAAATTTTCCCCCAAAGAGAAAAATATCAAAACTCATAAATTCAGGGCAAATTAAGAAACTACAAAAAGAGAAATTTTCAATCATCCAAAGCAGGGAAAAAAGAAATTTATAGCTGTATTTGGTTCAACATCAGTTTCGATCATTAATTAAAGCAAATCCAAGTAACGCCAATGTCTTTTTATGGATAAATACAATCCCAATAACGCAAATGCAGGGATTTGTCAGCAAAGCAAAACACCACGCACACAAAAAAAAAAACATCTATGGACAGCTCATTGATTCAAGTAGAAAAACCAACAATCCAGATCAAGAAAATTCCTTACAAAGATTCAATTTTTAATACATAACATAACTGAATAAGTAAGCAGATCCTTGAAACCAATCAAATGACAAAAACCCATAATCAAAAACTCAAGAATACACCCTAAAAATCAAAACTTTCAATCAAATAAGCATGCAAGAATCATTAAAGATGCAAACTTTAGCA